CTTCGCAAGTGACAGATAAAATTATATTATAAAACGCACGGTCGCTTCTTTATTGTATAAACAATCCTTGTCATGAATTTGCTGGGTTTAAAAATTCTTTCAATGGGGAATCTGGTAATTTTCTGTGCTGTTTCCTGGGTCGGTCTTTGTGAGTCGTCTGGTAAAAAGATAAATATGTGAAAAAAATAAATCATACTAAAAATTATTGGATTAATATGTTTGTAACTTACTTCTTAACCATAACAACACCTGCACTTCAGTTAAACTTTGCAAAACTATTCCTTGTCTTACAATTGTGCTCCAATACCGGTAATCATTGATTAGAAACTCCAATCAACGCCGAAGTAACGGCTCTAGCGTCCCATTCGCATTATCTGCAGTAATGGTGATATCCTAGGTATAAGTGCTAGCGGCAGAGGATCGTCCAAGCAGACAAGGAAAATACTGCCAAATAACCACTCAGTAATGAAATGAGGGAGGCCTATGTATATATATATATATATATATATATATATATATATATATATATATAAAGCTGTATTGCTGTAGAACAAACAAAACACACACACACACGCATATAAATGTATGTGTGTATGTGTGTGTGTGTGTGTGTGTGTGTGTGTGTGTGTGTGTGTGTGTGTGTGTGTGTGTGTGTATGTGTGTGTGTGTGTGTATGTGTGCAAACGCCAAAGCTGTATTGAACATCTTTATTTTCATTACCAATGTCAAATGAAGTAAAAATACAAAATAACAAAGAGCGAAACTACAGCCTAAGAAGTTATACTATAGAGGTCGCAAATAAATTCAAAATAAGACAAAGTACACGCAACATTAGAAAGATAACAAGTAAAAAGCCGCGTCCAAACAGGGAATTGGGTGATTGTGTAGTTAGGTTGCCTTTGTTGTAGTCGTGTCCTGATTAAACCTCATAAGTATGCAAATTGCTCCAGGAGGCAGTTTCTTTTTTAGAAATTTATATTTAAGTGGTATTATGACGTATTTTTGTACGTGTATATGTATGGTATTTTGTATGTGTGTATGCATGGTATTTTGTATGTGTATGCATGGTATTTTGTATGTATATGTATGGTATTTTGTGTGTTTGCATGCATGGTATTTTGCATGTGTGTATACATGGTGTTTTGTATGTATATATATATATATAAGGTATTTTGTATGTATATATATATATATATGATATTTTGTATATATGTATATATGGTATTATCCTGTGGTATTTTGCAGAAATTTATATTTAAGGGACGTAAAAGAGCATTAACAAGAGAGAAAATATCTGGTGTTAATTTGTATATTCCTTAGAAATAGTTTGTTTCACATCTAGCACAAGGTTAGGATTTTTTTTCTGTAACGGACAAAACAACAAAATGTATCTCACTATTCCTCAATATCATTTCCTTCGCAAATTGTCAAAAAATAAAAAATAAATAAAAATAACGACCGTTCTAAGATACAGACCATCTAAAGACATTGTCGTAAAAAGTGGAGAAAAAAAAAACTAAACTCACCGGTACATAAAATGATCTGGACAAAGAATTACATCATAAATTAAGAAAATAGTGTCGGCGATCGACTAAGTTACCACCATTACCGCAAACCATGCGAATGCGATGATGGAGCCTAGACTTCGGTTTAAGATGTCTGTAATTTATTTCTTAATCATAACAACGTCTGCATTTCAGCAAAATTTAGAAAAGCTATTACTTGTTTTACGATATTGTAAAAATTCTTACATCATGATATACAGGGAATCATTAATTAGAAACTTCAATATCCCCGAAATCATGGCTCTAGCTTCGCATACGCATCATCTGCGGTAATGGCGGTAACCCTTTCCTAAAGCTGTTGGCAAGAGTAAATGGAATATAGAATCTCAGTGGCTTGCTATCCTTTTGTAAAAAATTATCGATATGTTCACTCATTCGCTGAATCGGTCATTTGCGATGGAAAACAACAACGGAATCGCCTATAGTAAAACGTGAATAAGTGAAACAGAAAATCAATTACAAGGTTGGATGATTGGATGAAACAACATCATCAACAACAACAACAAAAACAAAAACCTTATAAAAAATCACCTGGAAACGGCTCATGTGTGAGAGAAATTTCCAATAGAATCATTTGTGCTCATAAAGCGTGTCGAATCCTCCACACAAAGCAAGTTCGAATCCCCTGTGTCGGAAATTTTGGTTTGAATTTTTTATCTTTTGCTTATAAACCTGTATAGTTCATCATTTTATAAACTGAATTCAAAAACTGGTTTATATATTTCAAGATTGAAAAGTGTGTTCAGATTTTTTTATCTACTCCTACTCGTTCTCCTTTGTGTGTGTGTGTGTGTATAAGTATATACATGTTTATATAATATATATATGTATATATATATTTATATATATACCGTATATGTATGTATGTATATATATATATATATATATATATATATATATATATATATATATATATATGTATATATATATGTATATATATATAAGTATATATATATGTATATATATATATCTTATATGTATATATATGTATATATATATATATATATATATATATATATATATATATATATATATATATATATATATATAATATATGTATATATATATCATATATATATATATATATATATATATATATATATATATATATATATATATATATGTATATATATGCACGTACAGACTTGGGCCTTTCTCTCTCTCTCTCTCGTTCTGTTTTTCTTTTTTTTCCACTCTCGCAACCTCTCCCTCTCTCTCTCTCTCTCTCTCTCTCTCTCTCTCTCTCTCTCTCTCTCTCTCTCTCTCTCTCTCTCTCTCTCTCTCTCTCTCTCTCTTTCTTTCTCTTCCTCTCTTTCTCTCCCTCTCCCTCTTCCTCCCTCATCATCCCTCCCTCCCCCTTCCTCTCTCTCTCTCTCTCTCTCTCATCCCTCCCACTCTCCTTCCTTCCCTCCCATCCACCCTTCCTCCCAACCTCCCTCCCTCCCTCCCTCCCTCCCCCTTCCTCTCGCAAATTCAGAACCTCCCAACAAACAAGGCATCATGAACACCATTTGACCAGTCATGCAAACCGCGATTTAGTTCGTTTAACCTCTAAGTCTCTCACGCATATAATGTTTTTCATTCTGTTCACTGGTCACGCGATGGAGCCTAAAGATTTCCTGACCTTGGGCTGATCAGTCACTGCCATATGTAAGATGCATGTGTTTGGGTGGAGCCTGTCTTTAAGGTACTCTATGTCTATTTCGTATGTATAGATAGATAGAAATATAGATATTTGTGTGTATTTTTTTTTTTTTTTTTTGATGAGAGAGAGGGAAAGGGGAGAGAACGAATGAAGGGGGGTAATGCAGTGCGTATCTCTCTCTTCTTCTCTTTCTCTTTTTCTAACTCCTTTCGTTCTCTCTCTCTCGGTCTCTCTCTCTCTCTCTCTCTCTCTCTCTCTCTCTCTCTCTCTCTCTCTCTCTCTCTCTCTCTCTCTCTTTCTCTTCTCTTTCACACACACACACACACACACACACACACACACACACACACACACACACACACACACACACACTACATGATGGCAAATGGCCAAGTAGTATATATGGCACAAATGTGTTTTATATATTCTAAATGTTTGTGTGCGTGTGTATGTGTGTGTGCGCGTGTGTGCACATGTACAACTATACTATAATATGCTTAAAACGGATACACCTCTTGTGCACATCACGTCGGTTGCCAGGCAGCACCAGAGGTCGTAACAAACACTGACTATCGTGAATTAAATCTTCCTTCTTTCTCTCTCTTCCTCCTAAATTTCACGTCCCTTAAGAGGAATGAACTCCTGTTCTTTATTCTGTGTCTGTTTTTTTTTAGTCTAAAAATAGGAATTTCACGCAAGGCCAACGGAGGAGGAACGCCAAAGAGGAAACGGTTTGATATTGCTGTGTCATAGTGAGTGTTACCTTTGAAAATCAGGGGAAATATTTTATATATAATTTACATACAAGAAGTCAGCACAATAGAGCATCCGTTCGACAGGAAAAAAGTAAAAAAAAAAAAAAAAAAAAAAAAAAAAAAAAAAAAAAAAAAAAAATATATAATATATATAATATATATATATATATATATATATATATATATATATATATATTAATCCCTGATCAAACTCCATAGCATCACTTCTTATTTCGTTATATATATATATATATATATATATATATATATATATATATATATATATTTCTTTCTTTGTCATAGAGATTGAACGTCAGCTCGATAGAACATCACACTGACAGGAAGAAATGAAGGTTAATACATCTCGATCACTGGTCACCAACCGTAGCAACCGTAGCTCCACCTCTCACCCCCCCCCCCCACCTCCACCTCTCACCCCCCCCCCTCCGTTCCGGCCTCATCTGCCTCGTTTGAAAAGCTGTGAAATCCACGACAGAGGGTCAGTTGTTGTTCAGACTGGAGAGGAGGAACATCGTCGGGTCATCGTCCAAGTTGGGAAAAAAACGACAAAGACAGGCACGTGAACTGGCATGATTTCTGACCCCCCCCCCCAAGTGGTTTCTGACCCACCCCACCCCCTGACTCTCCCCTTCCAATGGTTTCTGACACTTACCCAGTGGCTTCTGATACTACCACAATGACACCTGACACATTTAATGACATTGAACTCCCATAATAACAGCTGATAGTCCCATTGTACCCACAATGACATCTGGCACTCCCACAATGACATCTGACACTCCCACAATGACATCTGACACTCCCATAATAACATCTGACACTCCCATAATGACATCAGGCACTCCCATAATGACATCTGACACTCCCACAATGACATCGGACACTCCCACAATGACATCGGACACTCCCACAATAATATGACACTCCCACAATGACATCTGACACCCCTTTAATGACATCTGACACTCAGAACTTCTTCCCCGTGAAATACAGCGCGACTCCCCTTGGCAGGATGAAGATGCGGCTCCAGCTGGCTCCTGCTGTGCTGCTGTGGCTGAGCGCAGCCGTCGCGTCACAGGAGGAAACGGTCACGCTCGAGCTGCAGCAGGGCGTCATCGAGGGCAGAAGGTCTGAGGCCAAGGGGGGGAGGCCCTTCTACAGTTTCCTGGGCATCCCTTACGCCGAGCCCCCCGTCGGGAGCCTGAGGTTTAAGGTAGGCCTAAGAAAAAGGAGGTGAGGTGGAGGGAGAGAGGGAGGGAAGGAGGATGGAAGGAGGGGTGAAGGGAAGGAAGGAAGGGAGGGAGGGGTGAAGGGAGCGGGGAGGGAGGAAGGGAAGGAAGATAGAAGGGAGGAAAGGAGGAAGGAAGGAGGGAAGGAGGGAGGGACTGAATAGAGGGGGAGAGGGACTTAGGGAAGGAGGAAGGAAGGAAGGGAAGGGGGAGCGGGAGGGAGAGAGGGAGAAAGGGAGGAAGGAAGATGGAAGGGAGGAAGGAACAGAGGAAGAAAGGAAGGGAGGAAGGGAGGAAGGAGGGTCCTTGGTCGCCGGTCCTTGAGTGAAGGTTTCGGACGAAGCTTCTAACTTCTGCCTTTTATTGTGTGTTCCGGTCTTGAGGAAGAGTTTGGGACAAGTTCCTTTACTCTAGCATCTATTATGTTTTTTTCGATCTTGACTAAGGGTTTTGGACAGGGCTATTTTCTGCCTTCTATTGTATGCTTCGGTCCTGATTAAGAGATTCAAACAAGTGCTTTACTCTACTTGTTATTTTGGGTTCCGGACGAGGCTTTTTACTCAGCCTCCTATTGTGCGTTCCGGTCTTGAGTAAGGGTTTCGGACAAGTCCCTTCATTCTACCTCGTCTTCTGGATTTCTGTTCCTAAAAACTGAAGAAAAAAGATAATAAAAGATAAATAAATAAAGAATATATATGTATATATATATATATATATATATATATATATATATATATATATATATATATATATATATATATATATATATTACTCTGACCTGTTCTCCTTGGTGTATGTTTGAAGCCAAGGCCACATGAAGATTATACCTTCGTGTTTATATATAATAATGGCTCTTATTTTATTTATATTTCCGATCCCTTTTTCAAGTCCTCGATTCATCCCCCCCCCCCTCTCCTTCCCCACGACGTCAATCGTTCAATTTATAAGAATTCATCATCATCATCATGATTAACCCCTTCCATCCTTCTGCTTCCCCCTCCTCCTCTTATATTTACTATTCCTTTCTTTTTTTTCCTTTCCTCCCATCCTAAATCTCCCCGCTATCCACCCTATCTCTTATCCCGTTACTTTCTTACTTTCTCCCTCTTCCCCCTTCCTTCTCCTTTTCCCCCTTTTCCATCCTTTTACTCTCCTTCCTCCTTCCTCCTTCCCTCTTCCTTCTCCCTCTCCCTTTCACTCCTCTTCCTTCACTCTTCTTCTTTCCTCCTTCCCTCTCTCTTCCTCCTTCATCCTCTTTCTTCCCTCATGCCCGTCTTCTCCTTTCTCCCCCTTTCTCCTTCCTCTTCCTTCTATCTTCTTCCTCTTCCACGTACTTTTCCTTCTCCCTCATCTCCCTCTTTTTTCGCTCTTCCTTCTTTCTTCCTCTTTCACTTCCTTTCTCTCTTCTCGTCCTTTTTCCTTCTTCTTCCCCCTTTGTCCCTCCTACTCCTTTTCCATGTTTACTCCTTTCTCCTCCCTCTTCCTTGCTCCTCTCCCATATTCTTCCCTCCCTCCTTCTCCCCCTCACTCTCCCTTCCTCCTCTCCTATATTCTTCTCTCCCTTCCTCCTCTCCTATATTCTTCCCTCCCTCCTTCACTTCCTCCTCTTCCTTCCTCCTTTTCCATTTTCTTCCCTACCTCCTCTTCCTTCTTCCTTTTTCATTTTCT